AATGTGCTCATCTCTTTATCATACTAAACTTCTCTAAATCTTCACTGGTGAAATCAACACTGGTGAAATTAATTGTGCAAGATCACATATTTATTTCCACAATAACATAATATAATGGATAGCAGAACAAGCAAAGTTATCTATTTTCCTCTTGCTCCTGGCAACACTGAAATTTTAGGATTTTAAATAAAAATGAGCAGTCCTAGAAAACAAGGGATTCTGATGACAGGTTAAGAAAATACTAGATGAGAAAAATTAGACAGGGTCTTATCATTGGCGAAATCATGGCAGGAAACTATGGCCTCAAACACCCTAAGTAGAAGGGGTCAGTTTTCCAACAGATCTTCAAAGGTTCTCCGTCCTCAGAATACAATTACAAAAAGAAAGACTAGCTTGTACAAAAATGTCAGAGTAATGAAAGAAACACACTGGAAAAGCAACATCAGGGTGTGGATCTTGAGGGAGGCAGATGGAGGCAGGAAGTAAAGGCTGTACTTTTGGTTGCATAGAATTAATTGACAAGGTCTAACTCAAGACTTAGATTCAATGTTATGCCCTCCTCCTCCTTTCCTGCCTTATTATCATCAAAGCTACTATTATTAGAATATTATTTAAGTAAATGGTAGTACATCCATTCAATGAAATGCTAGTCAGATATTGAAAGGAATGAGCTATATCTGTAAGACATAGGAAACACAGAAAGGCAAGTTTCAGACATTTCTATGTACCACTGGCTCAGAAACTTTTGACAGAACCTGTGTCCCAGCTGTCATGGTGGCATTTAACTTTTTTAAGGCCTTACCATACCTCGCACCTCGTGCCTCAGGGCTCTCTGTTGCTGAGGAACTGTCAGTAGAAAGGGGCCGCATTTGGTTCTCACACACTCGCGATCTGGAATCACAGGGGGAATGAATGTCTTACGCAGTCAACACACTTTTGACATATGGGAGATAAGAGCTGATAGATACATTTTTCTTCCTCCATCCCAGAGATTAACTGTCCTGTGATGAAGCAGTTCATACAGACTTTGGAAAGATGAACCCATAAGGTCACACTATCAGTTGTAACAGACAGCCACAGTGGCCAGCGCAGTAAGGCACGCCATCGCGTTTCTTCCCCTTTCCCCCCGACTCACTCCTCCTTCTCCAGGATTGTACTTGCTAATAAATCAGCACGTGGACTTTTTCTTTAAGCTCCATTTTCTAGGAAACTTGATCCATGGTAGATGTTTGTTATATTACATTGCATGGAAAAGTTAAGTCATACATTAATATGGACACTGAAAAATTTTATGTAACAATATGTGTACACTTAAAGACATTTTTTGTGAAGGTATACAAGAGGTCTGAACGAATATGCACTCAACTTTTGAGAATGTATAGGAGTAAAGAAAAGACTTTGAGTATCTATTTATACTTCTCTATTTAAGTTTTTAAAGTCACCTATTACAGCAATTATCAACTGCTGTGCTGCAAGAATTTTTCAACACGCAATACCTCACTATTTAGTCAGGGACACTGACCTCTTTTCCCTTTGATTGATGACAACAGCCAACACAACAATAGCCATCTGATGCTGATGCCCTGTCGTGAACCATAAATACAGAGATCATCTAATACAGTAGCATCTTATTGGTAACGTCTTATAATAAGGTTGCGTCTTGTTGGTTAATTCTTGGTACCAGAAATCCTTATATACAAGTATAGGCATCTGATTTTTTAAAGTCACTTTGGAGCAAAAAGGGTAGGTAATTACTATTATTATTTTTTGTAACTCAATCCAAATTATACCTGTGTTTTGTCAGATTGGCAAAAAATGTTTATTTTTGGTGTGCCACAGAATTTTATTGGTTAATGTGTGCCATGAGATGAAAAAGACTGAAAATCGCTGACCTATTATATTTGTAATTTTAAAGAATACCAAAAAAGAAAAATATATTATAAAATAAATTAGGATGATAGTGTAATACTTTAAATTAAACATATTGTAGCTATTTATATTAATGAAGAATAAATTTTAGGCACTAGAATTAAAACACTTGAAAAAACTGCCATGTTGGAAAATGAGTTAAAGTAAGCATTCGTATCTTTTCTTATCTGTGTTAACATTCAGCGGTCCTAAACGGAAATATTTCTGTCCTTGTAGCAGAGAATACAATGCAAAGCAATGTCTTTCACAGATTGTACTTATACAACACAAAAGTAAATGCAAAACTGCCAATTAACTGATCATTTTAAAAATTAATGTAAATAAACAAGTAGATGAAAGTATTCCTAAAAAATTAACTGGCTAACTGACAGCATTTATTTCACATGTGCTATAATGACAGAGCCAAGCTCTTTATCTTCATAAAAAATAAAAAATTAGCTCCTTAAGAAAAAATTGAAATTGATCTCTTTCCTCTAATTTTATAATATTAAAAAATTGTTTCCTATAATGAGTATTTGGGCATATAAAAACTACAATGATATTCTAATAAGTATAATACTTCTTTAGCTATCCACGCATGTGTTTTTAAGACACATTATAGGGGTGTCTTTAAGATATCATCATAACTTGGTTTAAAACTTTTTTTCTTCCTTTTGTGCTAGAAGAGGAAAATTCTCCCCCAGTGAAAGGTAGCAGGTCCATGAAATAACACAGTATTAACAGAAGGTGATTATATGTAAGTCATTCTAAATTGACCTTAGTTCCATTATTTAGTTATTACCTTTAAAATGCAATGTACAAACTAATTTGTTTTCATAAAATAACAAAATTTCAAGTAATTCTTATACGCACTATTGAATAATTCCTATTTGCTTCCCTGGCATTAAGAAGAACAAACAATTGATTCAAGGGGTCCAAAAGTAAATTGCTAAAGCATTATAGGCCATACTTCTGTTTTCAGCAAAGGTAAGAGACTTTGAAGACCCCACTAATAAATTTGGAAAACATAAAATGAAATTACCAAACCAATTCATTTATACCTAGCTTTTTTAATTTTTATAAAAATGTAGAGAAAGTAAAAGTGAAATATGAATTTTCCTTTGATATATAGACAAGCACAATTCTTGATAATACACATGCTATTTTATGAATTCTATGATTTCATGAATTTATATTTATGTACATAACTAAAAATAATTACAGTGGCTCTAAAATAAGCTATTTCATTCGAAGGTCTTTCATGACTGATAAATATAACTATAATGGGGCATTTAAAAAAAGATTGCTTATTTATCTGTTTAAAATAGATTAAAAATTGGTCCAGGAAGTTTGCATCTCAGACTGAGGACAGAGAGAGGGAGCCCAGGGTTTATTCAGCAGGAAGCCCACATCCTTAACCAAGGATAAAAAGGCTGATATTGCACAGGCTAGAAGCTCACATCCATGCCTAAAGATGAAGGACGGGGGGCAGGGGCGGGGTGGGGGGGTCTGCATGATAGAGCATGAAGCTATATCCATATCCAAGGAAGGAGACAAGGGTTTATACGAGGTTGTACCCAGGTTATTCATATCTATTTCCTACAGAAATCCACTGGTCATTGATGGTGGGAATGTGAAATCAGCCTCTCTGGAAAACAGTCTAGGCATTTCTTAAAGCACTATGTTTGCAACCCTTATAGAGCCCAGCAATCACAGTTCTAGGCTTATCCCAGAAAAATGAAAACCTACAGGTTCTCACAAAAGTCTGTTCTGCAATGCTCACAGCAGCGAGATTTGTAACAGCCAAAAACTGGAGATAATCCCAACCATGACCTTGTAAAGGGCAAATGGTTACACTGAGGCACATCCATACCATAGAATAGCACTCAGCAAATAAAAAGGAAACAGAGTATTGACCCATTTGTGTCCCTGGGCAACTCACTTCCGAAAGCAGAAAAACGGCGGTCAGAGTTTATAAAGGGCATGCTGGATGAATCCCCTAGAACCTGGACAAATCTCCAAAGAATGATGCTGAGAGGGAAAAAGTCAATTCCCTAAGGTTACATGCTATACAATTCTCATTTATATAGAATTCCCAAAATGGCAGAATTCTGGAAATGGGGAACAGCTTAGCAGTTGCCAGGCATTAAGGGAATGGGGGCAGGAGCGAGGTGATGTAGTGAAGAAGGGGCACGGGAAGGACTCTTGCAGTGAGGAAATGGCACACATATCGCATATGTTGAGGTCAATATCCTGATTGTGACACCGCATCATAGTTTTCCAAGAGGTTATCCACGAGGGAAAGTGGGTAAACAGTGCATGGGACTCTCGCTGTATTATTTCTTCTAAGTGGATAAGAATCCACTTTGAGATGACAGTAAGTGGTTTAAGTAAAAGAAAAAAAAATAATTGAAATATGTGGTATTTGCATAGTACTCTACCAATCACAGCTTAGAAGTCTTGGCTATAGATCGGTTCCCAGCGGGGTTCTGCCCCTGGAACTGGCTTCTCTCCCAGCGGGGTGATTCGCCAAACGCCACGAGTACAGGACGTGGCTCAGGAGAACCAAGAGAACAACGGAGAAACTCTTAAGTAGAGGTCGGAATGCACACAGAGAGCAAGAGCCAGAACAGAGAGAGGTATCCCAGATGAGAGAGCGCGGTAACACAAAAGCGGGCAGTAAGCTGGATGTGCCCAGAAGTACAAAATAATAGCCACCAAGCCTAAGGTACTTGAAAGAATGCACCTGCACGGATGCACTCACTGAACGAGAGCACTCAGTCCAGACGGACGGGTTTCCGCTTGGGTTCTGCGCCTCCACTCCGCCAGGTGGAGCTTGGTCCCGCACAAGGGCGTCCGCGGTTCAGAGGTCACGCACGCCCAGCCCGAATCAGCTTTGGCGTTGGAAAGCTTGGGACCTTGCCGGCGCCTCCATTCCTCCTCCTCGCAGGTCAGACCGCGCGCACAGCAGACCTCCCACCCAACTTCGCGCCCGCCCGGCCACCGCCCTCTTTCCAGGACGCTTCTGCCCTATCTCTGCGCTCGCTTCCGACCTGCCCTGAGGAAAGACGCCTGCGCAGCCTCCAGCCACCATGGCTCACCTGCGCGCCTGCGAAGTCCGGCAGCTGCTGCACAACAAGTTCGTGGTAATCATGGGGGACTCGGTCCAGAGGGCTGTATACAAGGATTTGGTGGTCCTGCTGCAGAAGGACTGCCTGCTGTCTTCCAGTCAGCTGAAGGCCAAGGGTGAACTGACTTTCGAGGGGGACGTCCTGCTGGAGGGTGGACGGTGGGGCCGCATGCACAATGGTACCCACTACCGCGAGGTCCGCCAGTTCCGCTCGGGCCACCACCTGGTCCGTTTCTACTTCCTCACCCGTGCCTACTCCCCGTACCTCGTGGACGTCCTGGAAGAGCTGCGTCAGGGCGAGCACGCCCCGGACTTGGTCGTCATCAATTCCTGCCTTTGGGACCTCTCGAGGTACGGCCAGGACTTCCGGAGAGGCTACCGCGAGGACCTGGAGAGCCTGTTCCGGCACCTGGGCCAGGTGCTGCCTGCGTCCTGTCTCCTGGTGTGGCACACGGCCATGCCAGTGGCCGAGGTCGTCTCGGGCGGCTTCCTCCTGCCAGAGCATCAGCTCCGGGGCGCCCAACTGCGGGAAGACGTGATTGAGGCCAACTTCTACAGCTCGGTTGAAGCCAGCAGGCACGGCTTCGATGTGCTAGACCTACATTTCCACTTCCGCCATGCTGGGCAGCACCGGCAGCGAGATGGCGTGCACTGGGACGAGCGCGCGCACCGCCATCTCTCCCAGCTGCTGCTGGCGCACGTGGCGGATGCCTGGGGCGTGGATCTTCCCCGCCGCTACCCCGTGGGCAGATGGATCAGGGATGGTTCTTCCAGTGGAAGTGCAGCCCCAGCTGGAGGGAGGCAGCCCCGAGACAGCAGAGGTGATGAAGGCCGACAGGCCTTGTCCAGGCCCCCAGCCAGATCCTCGTCTTTCCGCAGCCCAGGGCGACTTTCTGCACGCTTTGCCCACTCTCGACCTCTGTTCCGGCACTATGACCGAGACACGTTTGTGACGTCCCGCCCGTCTTTTCAACCCCGGCAATTCTACAATGATTTTTCAACGATTCAGGTGGAATATATTGGCGAAGAAAACTCCAGGATTGGCGTCGAGCAGCGTCAGGGCCCCGTCCGCAGAGTTTCAATCCAGTACCAGAACAGAGCGCCGCCTCCTTACCCACTCCAGCACGCCAGCAGGCCACGCAGACACCGGCGTGGGCGCACTCAGAGACAAGGCCCCTACGGCCAGACCGAGACCTAGGCTTCTTCGCAGCGGTCAGTGGGCTGGACAGACTGCCGGAGTTCTCTCAGGCCTAGTCTTCAGCAACCCTGCCATGGTGAGGGCTCCTTAGGCTTCTTACTCTCACCAGGGAATAGCCTCACACACTCTTTGCCAGAGCCTCCACAGCAGTTCCTGGTGAGGAGGCAAGAAGCCCGGCCATCACACCATTCTGCTCTTGGCATTAGTGCAGAAGTGAACTCTGAGTGGAAAATGTACGTACGCGCACGCGCACACACACGCAGACACACAGGGTTGTCTTCCCTAAATGTCTTTGAGTAGTAAGTATGCTCTCCATAAATGTTCTTTCTTAAAAAAAAAAAAGTAAAAATTTTGATTCTTAAAATTTATCAAAACATTTCTCTTAAGACTACAATATCACCACTAGTTTTTACATACATTTATAGAACTTAATCCTCAAAGCTTTCACCGTAAGTTCTTTAAATTTATCAGTGTTTCAACACAACATTTTGGTATCCTTAAAAAAAAAAAAAATTACATTCCCTAATGAAAGAGTTTTTTTCTGTTAGAAACAGAAATCTCTCCTCTCAAACTCAGTAAATGCCTAGCACATTTTTAAAAAAAATAGACTTTTTTTTTTTTTTAGGGCAATTTTAGATTCACAGCAAAATGGAGAGGAAAGTAGAGAGTTTCCATGTACTTCCCATACATGGATTCCCCCACTATCAACATTCCACACAAAGATGGTACATGTGTTATTTTCAGGACAACTATATTGGGCATCATTATCACCCAAAGTCCATTTTTGGGGTTTAAATTTCACTTTTGGTTTCATACATAGTATGGTTATATGTGTGATATGTACCCAGCAGTATGCTGCCATACAGAACTGTTTCACTGCCGTAAAATTCCTCTGCTCCTTTCAGCTCACCCCCTGCCCAGCCTCTGGCAACCACCTAACAGTGTCCATAAAGTTGCCTCTTCTAGAATGTTATATAGTTGGAATTATACAGCAAGTAGCCTTTTCAGCTTGGCTTTTATTTTCCTTAGTAGTGTGCATTTAATGTTCTCTCATGTCTTTTTATGGCTTAATAGCTCATCTTCTTTTAATGCTGAATACTGTTCCTTCATCTGGATGTAACACTGTTTATCCCTCCACCTACTGAGGAGTATCTCAGTTGCTTCTGCGTTTGAACAATTATGAATAAAGCTGCTTTAAACATTCGTGTGCAGGTGTTTGTGTGGATGTAAGTTTTTCACTCCTTTGAGTAAATACCAAGGAATGTGATTGTTGGATTGCACACTAAGAGTATTTTTAGTTTTGTAAGAAACTGCTAAACTGTCTTCCAAAGGGACTTTCCCATTTTTCATTCTCATCAGCAATATGGGAGAGTTTGTTGCTCCACATCCCAGGCAGCATTTGATGTTGTCAGTGTTGAATTTTCCCATTCATGTGGCGGTATCTTGTTTCAATTTGTAATTCCCTAGTGACAGGATATGTGCACCTTTTCATATCTGTATTTGCCATCTGTATATTTTGGATGAGGTGTCTGTTCAGATCTTGTGGCCTTTTTTAATCAGTTGTCTGTTTACTTATTATTGAGTCTTAAAGGTTCTTTGTATATTTTGTATAACAGTATTTTATTGTTTATGTCTTTCAGAAATAGTTTCCCCCAGTCTGAGGCTTGCCTTCTCATTGTCTTGACAGTGTCTTTTACAGAGCAGAAGTTTTGAATCTTATTTAAGTCCAACTTATCAGTTGTTTTATTTATGGATTGTGCCTTTTGTGTTGTATCTAAAAAGTTACCACCAAACCCATGATCATCTAAAATTTCAGGGATGTCCAACGTGCGGCCCATGGGCCACACATGGCCTAGGATGGCTATGACTGTGGCTCAATACAAAATCATAAATGTACCTAAAACCTTTTTTATTTTTTCCTGCTCATCAGTTTTCATTAGTGTTTGTGTATTTAATGTGTGGCCCAGGACAGCTCTTCTTTTTCCATTGTGACCCAGGGCTGCCAAAAGGTTAGACATCTCTGGTAGATTTTCTCCTGTGTTATTTCTAGGGTTTTGTTTTGTTTTTTTCCTTTAGTTTTGTGTTTTACACTTAAGCACATGATCCAGTTTGAGTTAATATTTATGAATGGTGTAAAGTCTGTCTGGCTTCATTTGTTTGCATGTGGCTGTCCATTTGATCTAGCACCATTTGTTGCCTGAACTCAGATAGGGTTAATCCTCCATCTTTGTTCTTCTCCTTCAGTATTATACTGGCTATTCTGGGTTCTTTGCTTCTCCAGATAAACTTTAGAATGAGTTTGTGAATATCCACAAATAGCTTGATGGATTTTCATTGGGATTGCTCTAAATCTTTAGATCAAGTTCGGAAAAATTGTCATGTTGACAATTTTGAGTCTACTGACAAACATGGAATATCTCTCCATTTATTTAGTCCATTGACTTTATCAGAATTTTGTAGTCTTCTTTATTTAGACCTTGTACATATTGTGTTAGCTTTATACTCATTTCATTTGGGGGGATGCTAATGTAAATGGCATTGTGTTTTTATTTTAAAAATAGTTGTTCCATGCTGGTATGAGAAAAGCAATTGATGTTTGTGTATTTACTTTGTATCATGAATCCTTGATGTAGTCACTTAGGCTTCCAGGAATATTTTTACTGATTTTCTCACTTGCTGCATAGACAGTTGTGTCATTTACTAACAAGTTCAGTTTTATTTCTTTATACTCAATATGAATACCTTTTTTTTTCCTTGTCTCCTTGCCTTCTCTAGGTCTTCCAGTATAATGTTGTAAAGGAGTAATGAGAGGGGACATCGTTTCCTACCTCCTGATCTTAGTGAGCAAGCTTACAGTTTCATCATTAAGTAAAATGTTAACTGTAGGGTTTTGTGTATGTTTTTTAATCAAGTTGAGGATGTCCCCCAATTTCTCCTTGGCTAAGTTTTTATCATATATGGCGGTTGGTGTGAGCATGTGATTTTTCTTCTGTAGCTTGTTGATGTGATGGATTACATTAATTTGATTTTGAGATGTCAAACCACCTTTGTAGGGAAGGTGTTTTTTCTAGCTTCTTTCAAGAGTTGTTATTTATCTTTTGATTATCCACAGTTTAAATATGATATACCTAAATGTATATTTTTGTTTTACGTTTATCCTGCCTAATATTCTCTGAGTTTACTGGACCCGTGGTTTAGTTTCTGGCATTAATTTGGGGAAGATGACAGTCTTTATTGGTTCAAGTTTTTTGTTTGTTTCATTTGTTCGTTCTCCTTTGGTATTCCCATTATATTTAAACCATTTGCATTTGCCCCACAATTCTTGGATATTATTACATTTCTTTTTCAGCCTCTTTTCTCTTTGCTTTTTAGTTCTGGAATTTCTATTGACATATCCTTAAGCTCATTGATGCTTCCCTCAGCTGTGTCAGGCTACTAATAAACCCATCAGAGGCAGCCTTTATTTCTGTTACAGCATTTTTTATTTCTAAAATTGGTTTCATTCTTTTTTAGAATTTCTGTCTCTGCTTACATTACATCTGTTCTTACCTAATGTCTGCTCTTTTCCTTTAAAGCCCTTCGCATATTAATCATAGTAGTCTTAAATTACCAGTCTGATAATTAGAGTATCCCTACCATATCTGAGTTTGGTTCGGGTGCTTGCTCTGCCTCTGTGAACTATGATTTTTGCCTTTTAATATGCTCATATTTTTTTTAAATTGAAACCTAAACATGATGTACTGGGTAAAGGAGCTGTGATAAATAAGCCTTTAGTGATCTGGGTAGGGTGGGGCCGGGGGAGGAAGCCTTCTATAGAACTACAATGAGGTCTCAGTCTTTGGAGCCCCTGGATTTTGACCTTCATCAGTGATTTTTATCCCCTCCCCCCACCTTAGATGGGACAGGGTGACTCGAGGGGGCTGGAGTTGGATCCTTGCCTTCTGTCAAGTTGCTTAGGCTCTGAAGTATCCCAGTAGATTAGGCCTTGATAAAGTAATCTCTCTTGAGGGCAGGCCTGTTAAGGACACAGAACTCTGGCATTACTTCAGTATAGCTACTTTTCTCCCCCCGCCACTGGAATCATAGAAGACTTTTATCTTCACTGTAAGAACCTAGCAGGGCTCCTGGAGGTAAAACTCTTAGAAGAGTTGGGGCTCCCCTAAGACGGGGCTCTCTTGCAGCTACTCGCTTTCAGTTTTGTTCATGCCGAGCTCCCAGCAAATTTTCAATTACAGTTTAGGTTTTCCTACCCTAGTGCTGGTTCCCATGGAGGTTCTGCTTGTGGCTTTGTGTTTCAGTAAGTTGTCATTCTCTGTATCTGCCTATTTGTCCAATTTGGGGGAAAGCAGTTTGCCCTGTGACCTCAATTCTCTGACAGATCCAAGGAGGGTTATTGATTTTGTTTGTTCACCTTTTTGCTTGTGAGAATGGAGTGATGACTTCTAAACTCCTTACACTCTGGACCGGAAACCAGAAGTCTGGTCTAGCACATTTCAGAATGGCCCCGAGAACTGAAGAATACTTCGGTGTAAGCTAGAACACTCGGTAAATAACTTCTCATAATCTTCTTGTGCTTTTTTTTTTTTTTATCCTTTAACACTATCTCCTTCTTTTATAGTTTATGTATTTTTTAAACTTCTGGTTTAAAAACTGATATACTTCCCCATCAACTGTCCTTGTCTACAATTTTAGCACCGCTTACCCTTGCTAGAAATACTGCCCCCTACGTGATGTGACGAAGTGTGGATTTACACCAGCCTGCCCTCAGGCTCTGTCTGCATCCTTTCTTCAGTTTAAGTGTGGTCATCATTGTGGGTTAGAAGCCCTTCTGCCAGGCCCCATGGCAAAGTAAAGACAAAGGGAACATCATCACACATTCAGCTTTATTATATGAACAGGAAATTAAAAGCAACATTTCTGTCACATTTCCTCAATAGTCAATGCCATGGAGTTTCAGTAATGAAAGAGGGGGATTAACACATTGTGATGTTGAGTATTTT